TTGAGTCATTTATTTCAAAATTTGAGTGGTTATTTCTAATTCAGAAGATTTAATTAAGTCAACCTTATACGGTGTTACTTCTTCAAATACTCAATCCACTTCATAACGTTTCAAGTAATCGTATAGCAGCGTACTAATTCCGGATGGGATATAATTTCGTAATTCAATTTTAATTCTAACCTCGAAAAAAAAAAAAACCAATCCGTTGGTCTCAAAATATAACTAAAAGACAATCATTTCCAAAATTTCTTGCAATATGGGAATCTAAACATAAGCATACCGATATTAGAGTTGTTAGAGTTTTACTCAGCGTATGGCTGCATTTAACAATATGGCTGTACACGCCAAAACAATGTTATTAAATAATTCCTACGTTGTTATAAACACACGCTAAGCCCTCTTTAACTTAACTCTGTCGATGTGACTGACAGACTGACAGATTTGGATGCAAGCAGCTCCTGATTTTGTTGTAAAAAGTCCTAAAAAACTTACATTTATAGGTGAGTATCACTTTCTTGGACAGAAATACTTTATGAATAGAAAATCGTACTCAAAGCTTAATACATTCTATAGATTATAGGTAGGGAATCATTATCTCAGTTTTATTCTTTTTTAATGGATAAAGAATCGTTACTTTTTTGGTCGGATATAGTAATGGTAAATAATTCAGTCTGAAACATTTTATTTGGATAATGAATAACTCTCTAAACTTGAACATTTTATGTTAAGAATAACTTTTTTAGGTCAGATATATTGAATCACTCTTGCTCAATCTGAAACAGTTATGGAAAATATATTTTTTTCCTTTAATTGGACTGAAAACATCGCTTTTTGGTCTAATGCATTTTATATGTAAAGAATTATTCTTTTGCTCTGATGTATTTAATTTGTAGAGATTTACATTCTAAGTCTTAGATATTTTACGGTTAAAATCACTGCCTGTCTGTCACATTTTATAGAAGAACATTACACAATTGATCTAATAACTTTAAAGTTAAGAACCACAGTTAAGATACTATCATTCCAATAACAACGTGCCACTTTGTTTGGTCGAGCATGCTAAAGTTTCAAAAGTTGACCACTATATTTCTTATCGATTGGATGTTTGATTTCAATGAAATGAATAATACTTTGCATATGAACAGAGAAGCCACTAATGAGCTCTGACTGACCAAGTGTTGCTGCTTAGTACTACGAATGTCGTACTCGTAAACAACCATTCAATGCGACTGGTCAGTCTTATCAGTGTATTGTTGGGTTCTCTGTTTCATATGCGAAGTAGTATTCATTTTATTGAAATCAAATATCTATGTATTTGCTGACTAGGTCATTGTATCGACCATAGATTTTGTGAAATGTTGACTTTAATCGAGACTGTTGATATCCTTGTTTCATCAACTTGTTTGTCAATAGCTTGCCTCGATTTAGAAATTAGAAATCATGTTCTTGCGTAACAAATCAACTGGGAGACATAAACTCCATATGTAGGTGATAAGGGTATATTGCTACATAAATAAGGGAAGTTGACGATGTCTTCAGTTTATCGTAAAGTTTTGTTGTTGGATTACCATTAAGGTCTTTTTCTAGTAATATATCCAAATATAAAACAGATGTGTCAGACTCTGTGGTATCTTTTATTTCGAGTTCAGAGGGATATATCAAATTAAAGTAGGAATGAAAATGAAAATTGTTAATTGAGAAAACGTTGTCGATATATCTAAATGTTGAACTGAAGACAACAGCAAGAGACTTCTTTTCTTCATGTAGAAGTTTTTGAATAATTTCTGCTTCATATGAATACAGAAATAGGTTGCAAATAACGGGGCGCGATTAATACTCATGGAAATTCCGACAGATTGTTGGAAGACCTGAACTCTTAAAAAACTACATAGATATTGTCAGTCAGAAACTCAAGCATCTTTTTAAGTTTCTTCAGTGCTTGTGTATACAATCGTAATGTTTTTTAACAAAATATTTTGCAAATGACGTTTGACAAAGCAAGTAAAATTACAAGTTCCTTTTTTGAAAATAGCGCGCGGGGAATAGTTGTATAAAGTGTTGAAAACTAGTACGTTTTGATATCATTGATATTGGTAAAATTTTGTGATTTCAAATCTTCTAAATGTTCCTTGGAGTTTTTGAGCATCCACGTCTGATTTACACCACTTCTCGAATATATTGTTGAACAGTACTCCTGAAGTTTCTCAGGAATATTTTAGCGAGGAGTAAAGAAATAGGCTTGGTAGAACATTTACTGGATTCCACTATGATCTTTGTAGTTAAATTCAACTCTTGGGCTGGTCTTTGACATTTTTGGCTGCAGAAAATCATTCCTTATAGTCTATGATTATTTATAAATAGAGAACCATCAGACTGTGTGATATTTCAGGGATAGGGAATTACTTTCTCGGTCTTCATTGTTTTCTGGGGGGCAGAGAATCAGTCTCTTGGTCCACGAAATCTTATGTACACGGAATCACTCTATCAACTGTTGACATTATAACAGAGGCCAACTCTTTCAATGTGTTGTATTTTATTGGCATTGGCAAAGAATCACTTTCTCCATCGAAACACACTCTCAACCCTCAGCTGTTGGATTTTATGCGCATAGAATCACTTTTGTCTGGCATTTTATGGACAAAGAATCATTTTCTCAATCTGTTACATTTTTATGGGCATGGAATCATTCTGTCGGTCTCGATATTTCATAGACTGAGAATCACACTCAAAACCTTCAGATGTGGGATTTCATACTTATAGAATCGCTGTTTGGTCTGTGACATTTTATGGGCAAAGAATCATTTTCTCGATCTGTTACATTTTATGGGCATGGGATCATTCTCTCGTTCTGCGATATTTTATGGATTAAGAATCACACTCTCAACCTTCAGATGTGGGATTCTATGCCAACAGAATCGCTTTTTGGTCATGGACATTTTATGGGCTGGAATCACTCTCATGTTCTTTCACATTTTATGGATGTGATATGATTTATCTTCATATTTTATGGATAAATGATTACTCTCTTTTTCTAAAGAGAATTGCTTTCTGTCTATATGGGTAATTCTTTTGGGCGTGTGTGTGAAAAAAAATGTTACGTCGAGTCATTTTTGTCGTATTTAAGCAAAGTTGTTATGTTTAATATGGTTTAAGTATAGACCTATATGTACATGTGAATAGAAAACCTGGATCGAAATACCTTTTGCTTGCAGTGGCATCCATACTAATTTTTTTACGTAGTATCAGTATCAAGCAAATTACTATTGGTTTATTTAAAACGTCCCTCTGGAATTAAAAGGTAAGAAAACTGAGTTTACCAGATCCCTGAAGGGCATATAGCATTCGTATAAACCTTGGTATTGGAATTATGATGAATGGGATTTCTCACTTCTGCCGTCATAACCACTTAAGCAGCGTTATCCCTCGCGTCCTCGCTGACCAACTCGAGAATGGTATAGTTTGATGGGGTTACTTAAGGATAAACTTGATTGGTTTTCATGGAAAGGAGTTGCTTGAGATATATTCTAAGAGCATCCGGTTAATAAAAAATAAAAATTCTGATCAGTCATTAAGAGTTGTAGGGTTTCGAGTAAAATGTTGTTGCACTTTACATTTAGAAGGGTTGAAGTTTGAATTGGATGGGATTGTGAAAACACGATCTACCAAGCTAGCTATAGGCTGATTGATTTAACTTTTACAAAATAAACATAGCTAAAACAAAAGTCAATCTTGGCAAGATTTTTTTTTTCAGATTTAGCGGTGACATTTCGATAGGAAGAGTAAGAAAATGCGCATTGAATATAAATAACAGAGAGCTTAAGAAAAAGTTAGTCGGATCTTTGAAGCATTCATCGTTATGCATACAAAACAAGTTTGTGGCAGTCACTGTTTTATTCAATGAAGATCCTTTATGGATTTTATAAGAGGATCCACATATTGACTCCTGGCATACGTGTATATTTATAAGACGTATCAATATAAATTTTGAAAAACCTTCATATCAAAAATGTTATATTTAAGCAAAGCCTATCTCTTACCCATTCAAACTTGGAAATCGGATATTTCTTTATTTATTCATTTGCTATGAATCTTGGAAATAGCAATACATGTATTTATTGAAGCCAGAATCATTTTGATCTTTTACATACATGAAGAGTTGTTCTTGACTCATATATTATAATATTTGACCAAAGTCTAAAGGGAGAAGAAAATATTTTTAAATTTTTGGCTGTCTCTAGACCTTGAACGATATTTCGTGTGTGTAAGATAATGAAACAATTCTAAAAAAAAAAAAAGATTAATAAAATATGAAATATAACATCATATATGAAAACAGGTCATGCGTCACATAATAATAATAATGTCTTAATCAATGTGATTTTTGTTTGCAATAGTAGAGCAGTTACACAATAAGGATCTGTCAATCAGAAATAAATTAAACAAAGTACCAAATAACGATTGATTTCCCTGTTACCGATTTCAATTACCACCAATAGTTCGAATTTATAACAATATTTCATTTCACTGTCATGTTTATTCTAACTCTCTTAAGTACAACATAGCAAAGGCAATGAGTTTGCTTTCCTTTAATTTGGTCCATATGAAGAATCAGTATCGTGGTAAGCCAATACTATAGAACTCTAAAAAGTTATCTCAATGAAAATACACCGATGATATCTGCCCTATTTTATATTTGTATCCATGACCTTGTATCGAAGAAATTCAAGAATAACTACACATTTATAGTATTGTCTAGGATACCTTTATGACATTGTCCTTTACCTAATTGGAACATTATTTTATTACCAGACATAAAAATTTTGACTACATCATGGGAGAGGATAAAAAAAAGAACTGAATAGAAGAGGCTACTTGCGACTTCTGTGTTGTGCAACAAATAATATGGTGTCACAATTATCTTCATTTGGCAAAGTAAAGGTTTGAAGATAATAACGATTTTGGCATTGAAACTCAAAAAAGTTTTTTTTTTCCCGTTTCAGTCTCCACAGTTCCAGCGGATGGCGATTCATATAATATAGTGTCCAAAGAGAAACAACTAATAAAGTTTCTCCTTGACCGTTACGCCACCTTTGGACGCTATGGCAGACCTGTCGTTAACACCTCCGAGATCATCACCATTAGATTTGGTCTTTCTTTGATCCAAATTCTAAAAGTGGACGAAAAAAATCAAGTTTTCGAGACAAATGTTTGGGAAACCTTCGTAAGTACAATTCAGCTGTCTACTGGATTAGTTATTTATAGAGCATTGCTGAATTGTTTTCTGTCTATATCAAAGAACTTCAAAAATGATTATTGTGTATGTTCCAGTACAATGCAAATCTCACATTAATCTTAATTTTTTGTAATGCAATTTGTTTTGATTTTACAATGAATCTAATGATTTTACTCTAAAGCCAATTGATTTTCAAATTTTTTATTCCTCACTTTTAGACCTGGAAAGATGCATTGCTAACATGGGACCCAGATGAACACGAGGGAATTAAAAAGATTCGCGTTCCCTCCGAACAAGTCTGGATACCGGATCTAAAACTTTACAATTTGTATGTTACGTAATCTTTTTTTTCAAAAAACGCCAAAATTATATCATTAAGGATTCATCACTATAATATTCAATTTCCAAAACATAAAAGGATTCGTTTTCACTTTAAATTTCCCGAGTGGTTATTATTCAAACGAGAGGAGAAAAAGGAATTAAGCACAAATCAATATTTATACTTCTTATAGTTTGAAGAATCTCAATTTCACATCTAAATTTTTTTTGGAAAAAATCCAATAAAAGCTTTTTCCGAATATTTAATGTGATTAAGCAATTTATTAATGAAAATTTTACAAGTTTAAAAATAACTTTTTTCCCCCGCCATTTCATCTTGAAAATCATCAATTACAATTGAAAAATATTTTCATCTATTTTTTGCAGTGCGGACCCTAGATTAAAAGAAAAACGGGATGCTCTCGTTGTGGTAGAACATGATGGCTCAGTCATGTGGATGCCGCAAGCTATTCTCCGTAGCAACTGCCCATTCAGTACAACTTATTTCCCTTTTGACTCTCAGACATGCAAAATGAAATTTGGTTTTTGGACATACGATGGAACTCAACTGGACCTCGACTTCTTTCAGGATGTTCATCAGATGTCTGTAACAGACTATCTTAGTGCCACGGAATGGGACATTATCGCAAATTATGCTAACAAAACAAATTTCTTCTATGAATGTTGCCCTAATCAACCCTTTCCAGATCTTACCTTTTACATAACGATCAAGAGAAAGGTCGCTTTTTATACGTTCATTTTAATTCTACCATGTGCTCTGTTGTCCCTTCTGACGTTAGTGATATTCTGGGTTCCACCTGAATCACCTGCAAAATTAGTTCTTGGTATGAAATGCTGCTTGTATTTCTTTAAGATTTTTTAAAAAAATTGATTTGATATATATCAAAGAATAATACATATAAACTTTATGCCCTGTTCACACGGAGAGTTTAATTCGAATTAAACGTAAGTTACTGCATATTAAATTTGATCCGCGTTCACACGAAGAATTTAATACGAATTAGTTTAATTCGAATTAGTTTACTGCGCATTAAATTACTTCGCATTAGCTCCCTGTGAACGCTAAGCGAAGCTAATTCGAATTAAATTTTGACACATGCGTAAGGGTGGAATTAAGTCATAGGCCACATGTCGATGGTCAAATATAGCTACTTGTGCTATTTTTGAGTGGAAAACAAAGGAAAATTATGTTAATCACTAAAATGTGTACAGAGACTATGACATTTGTAGAATGTATATCTGCTCTGCACAATATGACGTGATTTGTAAATGGCGTCATAATAGCCTCACTGAATAGCCTTTTTGTAGAAATAAAATTATAATTCGCATTAGTTTACTTCGCATTAGCTTTCGTGTGAACGCAATTTAATTCGCATTAGTTTAATTCGCATCATTTTACTTTGCATTAATTTACTGCGAATTAAACTCTCCGTGTGAACAGGGCATTACATTTGTGTTGACCTTTTATGAAAATCATTACTGAAAATTGCAGACAAACATATGTAGTACAAGTACACTATCTAATAAAAGAAAGGTAATAATGAAAATTTTATTATTTTTGTACAGGAATGAATGTTTTTGTCGCCTTTTTCGTCTTGTTACTATTGCTGGCGGAATCAACTCCAAAAGCCGCAGAGAGTGTTCCTTTGATTGGTAAGAATCAGAAAGGGCAAGTTGTACAACATTTTTTTGCGATTCACAAAAAGAGCAAGAATTTATCATTTATGCTAATAAACATTTTTTAGCAATTTTTTCTAACAAGCAATTTATTTTGATCCTGATTGAAAAAAAACTTTTTACAGTTTTATTTTGAAATACTCACAGGAACTTACTTCTGTTTGAGCATGATAATGATCACCCTGTCCACAATTCTGGCTGTTATAGTGACAAACATGTTCTTCCGAGGTGTTCGAATCAATCGCGCACCTGCTTGGCTTCGAACGGTTAGTATATATGTGAAATATATCCGTTTTTTAAGTTTGAGATATAGTTGACAATATTTTATAATTCATCATCGTGACTATTGGTATTTGTTTTTCTTTGTATCAGCTTATGATCGACATTGTTGCCCGAGTATTTTTTATCCGGCATCAGCTTGTCGAAGAACAACAGACAGATACATCTCAGAAAGTAGTGTGTTCTCAGGTCCGTCTCCTGAATGATGGAAAAGAGGAACGAACATTTACAATGCCCAAACCCCCTTCTATGCAAAACACGGGGTTGCAGCAAAATTCGGGCGTTCAGAACATCTTTGAACAAAACAATTGCCATACTTCTCCCGATAGCAACGAAAACGACAGGCTTAATATACTCAAATCAAGCCTAGCAACGGACCTTCGGAAAATACGTGAAATTCTGGAATTTCATAGGGATAAAAAAGAGAAGGCAGAGAGAAAAGAGAAACACGTTAGAGAGTGGAGGGTTATCTGTTGTGTTACAGATCGCTTGTTCTTCCTATGTTATCTCATTATAAACATAACAATGATCATTGTCATTTTCTATGGAATCAATTGAAAAAAAATCACTCTTTTCACAAAAAACCAATAGATCATTTTCTTTTCTTTTTTAAATTTTGCTCTGATTTGTCTTTTTTTTTGTGTTGATTTTACACAATTAATACGTATGTTCACACTTATTTTATTTATAATTAGTCAGTTATGCTTGCTTTTCACTTCTATTTAAACATTAAATCAAATAACTTGGAATCTTTTATTTTACATGTACAAGAATGCAAATAAAAGTATGCCACTTCTGAATTCTTACAGCAATAATGGAATATACATGTTTATTAAATGTGAACCCTAAGTTATTTATTGTCGTCAAACTTTCTCTTTATTTATTCATTTAAAAAAATTTACTTACAAACACATACAATATTTTGTCCATTTGTTCACAAGTAAGATGAAATGAAAGATTAATGCATTGTACGGAAGAATCGAAACTGAGAGGATCTTTTAGGTAACAAGAAAACACTGGTAAATTCTGGTTCCATGAAACTGATATGAGAAATACTTTATCATGTATGCATGCACATAAATATAATTTGATGACATGTGATCTACTTTGTTTTATCATGTATGAAATTGTAAAAAAATGCAATAAGAATGATATCTTTATTGCTTTGTTCTTCACTTAAGTCCCTCACCTCTGTAGCAAAACTTTGCTACCTGTAAATAAAACCTATATGTTTGTAAAGGAATGTTATGTTTTCTATGCAGAAATGTGATATGAGAGTGTGAACAATTTAAATGTGGTTGAAATACATTATTATTTATTATTAAATTATTAATGGATCATCAATGTATAGTTGGTCACAGATGTTAATAAATATTTTTCACTTTTTGACTGTTTGTTTTTGTTATTTCTCCACACAGCTGAATTTTTTCAGAAAATACGTTAGTGGAAGAATTCGGTGACAAAGTTAAAATGCCGAGAACATGGGAATCTTAGAAATGAAATTCGCAATAAAATACATGTATAGGTTATCATAATTTCATTAAAGTCATATATGGCGTGTTTTTGATAAGTTCAGACAAACTAAAATTAAAAAGATCTTTCTATTTAATTTATTACTTTATATAAAGATAGGACTTTCCTGTAAATTACACAATTTAAATCGATCGCGTTTCCTAGATATTAAAAATTTAAACAATACCCGATTTATTTACCGACTCCTCATTTAAATATCAGACACAGTTTAAAGTCAGTTTAACTATAGAAACGTGGGGTTATTCAAGTTCAAAATCGGTGAAAATTTTAATTTGAGCGTAAATAAAAAATATGTTCATCTACACTCAGTCTAGTATTTTTATTTTTTAGCTCAGATACACCATATATAGCTTTAAGAAAAAAAGTTCAATAGTTTCTATTGATTTAGATGAAATTGAATAAGTACATAAGCAGAAAAATTGCTCATTTAAAAACACTCATCAATGCACAGCCATTCAATTTATCTTCTAAAGTTCATGCAAGTAAGACGAGTTTTGAATTAAGTGCATTGATAATGATATAATCTATTCTTTTTCAAATTATGGTATGCGTTCACCTTCGTATTGAATTTTGAGTAAAATGCACTTTAACAAAAGAATCATTAAAATCGCATGAAGATAAAAAAAGAGGTTTATGATGAAAAGGAAAAAAAAAGAAACAAATGGGAAGAAAAAACAATGTTCATATGAAATGAATTTTAGGAAGCTGAAACTTGTTATATAACTTGAATAAATGGAGGTACATTTAGATCTGATTTCGTTAAACTTATTTCCTTTTTAAATTTATATTTGGGTAAAGGCAGAAACATTTGCTATCAAACACATGAAAATTCAGGGCAAAAACTCTTTAATTCAGGCTGATGATGGACTAAGCAATGCCAAAGGAGATACTATTGAAACAGGATATAAATTATATAATCCCAAATATTTTTCTTTCGTCAAGGTAAGGAAACATTTAGATATAAAATTTAAAAAAAAAAGTTTATGTCCAAAGCATTGTATGCACTGCAACAAGTTTCAGCTCGAAAACCTAGCTAATATAACTATACATACATGTAGCCCTGATATAAAATCCACTTAATGAAATAATGTTGCATTAGTTGATAAATCTGCATTCATTTATGATAAAATTATATTATAAATGAAACACATTGTTATTCAATAATGATACGGAAGTAATTTACAATCAAAACTCGTATTATGTATATACTCGTATACACTCGTATGGGGAAGACGCAATCACATTTTGAATTTTTCTTTCAGCAAGACAACCGTCACATTTTGCATGTTCATATTAATGTTCTTTATCTACATTTGTAGATATCTATGTACTATTATCAATTTTTCGTATTTTTTATGTTCTTTGAATTTTTGTGATGTGTTGGCATGAAAAACTCCATTTGTCCGGTAAACTCTTCGTACAGTTTCAAGACAGAAACTTTTTTATTCTGCATATCAATTGCACATAAATCAGAGATGCGCATGGTACTTGGATTTTGATTTTTGATCAGTTATGGGGAAAATGCCATTTGTTGAACTTAGTCATTTCTACATGCAAAATATCCTAACAGGGTACATTGATTTTGTTGGGCTGTCACCTCCTACATTTTTCAAAATAAAAAGTTTTTATATAGACGACATTCTCATTTACAAGAGTTATTTCTCTTCCGGGGTCAATCTAGGGTCAACTGACATAAGGTGCTTTTTTCCTGTATAACATTACCAACTTTATGGGGTAGTATCTGATAAATAAAATTTATATGTGTATTTGCATTATGTTTTCTTTGTCGCCCCATACTTTATCAATAATGGTATAAAATTATCAAAACACGTTTAAATATTTAAAATTTTTACAGGTAACTTACTAAGGATATAGAAAGAGATATGGGTCATTCACGACAAAGAGAGTCAACTCTTGCAAATAAAAATGTGAGAAATACCAGTACTGTTCACACAAAGAAAACCTGGTTTGCTGTCACATTGACAGCTTTCCATTTTTGTACTTTGAAGATAATTGCACACGAATACAACTTAGAAGGACATGGAATATTGCTCAATTCACACCAAATTAATTCGTATGGTTGGATTCTTACTGTGTTGGCTTTAGCTTGCATTTTTTATTGGTCTGATTGACCACATGTCCATTCAATAATTATGGATACAATGACTTTGTTAATTAACTCCTGTTTTTGATGAACAAATAGACAAAAAGCACCTTTTTTCATATATATAACCTCTTTGTAGAAAATGTTCAAGGGTACTGGAGTAAATTATTTAGAGGTAAGATTTTGAATTATATTACTTAATTGCCTTGGTGAAAGAATTGATCATACTCAGAGCATACATTTGGGTATTGAATAAGTTGGGAGACATAAACATCATATCCAGGTGACAGCGGAATATCAATACATAGATAAGGAAGTTGACGATGGAAAAACTGAAGTCATCTCGTTTGTCATAAAGTTTAGTTGTTAGTTATAGTGCTCTTATCGTCTACAGTCAGTAAAACATCCAAATATGAAACAGATGTGACAGACACTTAGCTCTCTTTAATTCTAGTTCATTGGGATATATCGAGTCCAGATAAGAATGAAAGTAACTCAATTGATAATACAACGTCTATATATCTGAATGTGGAGTTGAAAGCCACAGCAAGTGTTTTCTTCTTTTTTTTTTTTTAATAAATTCTGCTTCATAGAAATATAAAAACAGGTCGACTAATAAAGGAGCACAATTGGTGCAGCTCGGAATTACAATCAGTTGAAGACCTGGTCCCCAAAGACTACATAGATGCTGCCAACTCCAGCATCCTTTTAATATCAACTTCAGACTACTTGTACGTAGAATCAGAGTGATTTTGAACAAAGTAATTTTGTTGATGACCAATCACAAGATATGAAAATGTCAGAGTTCCATTTTTGTTGAAAAACCAGTTGTCTATGTTATCAGAAAGCCTAGTTTTTAATCTATCATGAGGAATGGTTGTATAAAGTGTAGAAAAGTCATACATTTTGATGTTACTGACTTTTGAAAAAAAAATCGTGATTTGAAATTTTCTAAAAGTTCTTTGGAGTGTTTGAGAATCTACTTTTGATTTACACCACTTCTCGAATATGCTGAAGTTTCTTCAGTACAGCAGTTAATGTTTTTTGTGAGAAGTAAAGATAGGGGCTTGGTAGAGCATTTGCTGGACCCGGAAATGTATTATTGTATGTAAGGATTTTTATGAAGTTTAGAAATCCAGTACATCTCTATAGATAGGGTAGATCAAACTCACCTCTTTTGACTGGGATGTTAAAAGTGTTACAATGTGATTTTGAAGAATTTCATCCATAGAAAGTGAATTGTGAGTGTAAGTTGGATTTCCAGATGTAGAATGAAAAATAAGTTCTTCTAAAATACAGCTATAATAATGAGACTTACAAAAAACCGATATTGTTACAAGCCTTGTCTGTTGGTATCATAACATATTGTTTATGTAGTCTTCTAATTCTTTTATCACCTCCGATTTAGTGAAAACGGAAGGATAGAAGGTTTGCAAATTGCTTTTTAACTTTCTAACACGATTCTTTAATACATTTCTAAATCACTTAACCCATTCGGACCGGCAAAATGTTCAAATCTATCTCTCTATATTTCGCCCAACGTTTGGCATAATCTTCGACAGAATTCATAAAAGAAATGGACTTCTGTCGCCAATTAAGAGATCAGGGCTCTCTGTATTGATAATATTTTTAAATGATTGCTTTAGGTGGTTATTTTCAACTATATTAGCACCACCAGTAATGACGTCTCCAGTGGGGCCATAGTTGAAAGAAGAAGAAGAGCAAGAACACTTAACAGGGTTTTGTTTTAGATGTTAAATATCTACCCAATGTAAGATTTGCTTATAATTGGAAAATTTGGAAGTAACAGTTTGGGAATATCTGTAGAAATGCAGGGTGTAGACTTCACCTTGAAATATGGTGGAATGCAAGACTGAACTTTTTATGAATAAGAATGTAACTAATGTTCAATGCATCTTCCTTTGTTGGCAAAGTTAAGTTTAAGGAAACCAAGGGCTGAATCGGAATTATTATCTCTGGACACACGTGGCGGTTTATAAAGAACCTGTGTTGGGCAACATCATTAATCAACAAACACTGCAGTTGAAGAATTCACGTATTGATTTGCTTTAGCTTCTTTAAATAGTCCATTCAAAAAAGTAAAGTTTAGTGCTAATGTGATTAAGACCTCATTGTTTATTGACGTAAGGAAAAGGTGAATCGAAAGAAACCATATCGTATATATTTGGTCTATTGTATGATCGATAACCATGACACGCCTACGTCTAGGTGTATTGTTAAAAAGTCCAGTCACATTCATAATGGCACACTGAGGGCTTGAAAGAATCTTTACATTATTTATGTGGCCGTTACAATCATTCGGAAATGCACTGCTCAGTTTCCTGATCCAGTATTCTTCTCATTGTCTACGGAATGGAGAGTTTATAATGGGACTATTAGTTGTATGATATATTTTTTCGAAAATTTTACCCCTCATAGAATGGTCTGGCGAATTGAAATGTTAACAAAGCTTTTGATGCCTCCGATTATTTATTTCAAACCTATGTCCCGACATTCTCTTGTTTGAGCGAACCGTTTGTTTCATTAATATAAATCAGTTCGCATAGTCTACATTCAATTCCATCAACAAAGTTTTGAAATTTTACAAGTCTAATATTCACCCGTTTTAGTATTAAAGCTGTATCCACTGAGGTTGCTCTTAAACGAAATATTTGTTATCAAAATATCAAAAGTTTTACAACTCCTAGAGGAATACTTGAAAATGGAACATATGAGGTCCGAAAAGGAA